CTCACAGTCCTTCTGTCTGACACTAATGACTAAAAAATCCCAGCAGTGATTGTACTTTTTAAGACTACTCCACAAAAACAATCTAATGGAGACTCTGCTATTGACCCTTTACAGATCTACCATTGAAATTGTGCTGGCTTCTTGTATCACAGTGTGGTTTGCGGGCTGCTCAGCTGTAGACTGGAAGGCCCTACAGAGAATTATAAGGTCAGCAGAGAAAATCACTGGCTGTCTCCCGCCCTCTCTGGAGGACATAGCTAGCACTTGTTGTCTCAACAAGGCCAGAAACATTGCAAAGGATAATACATAACCCGTATATGATCTATTTGCTCTTATGCCCTCTAGAAGGCGCTATGGGAGTCTAAAAAGCAGAACAAATAGTGTTACTGCTAGCCGTCAGAAATAACCACCGAGGACCCAGTACAGCATGACATAGCTTTGCTTTGAACATACATTCATATTGTGACCTGTCTTTATTTATTCTTTATGTCTGTTATTCATTTTATGTCTTTTATTATCTATTTATTAAACTTGCACCATTATCATTTGTAGCACTCTAATTTTGTTGTACAATGACAATAAAGCATTCAATTCAATTAATTTTGTCATTACAACTAAGTGATGAAAAGTTAATTCGTACTCTTTACTCAAAGCCTGCACTTAAGTACAGTTTTAGGTATTTACGTTTGATGCTCTTTCTACTTCAGCTGGTTCCCTTTGTATCTGCACTCACCTGCTGTGCCAGATGTGAGATGAGACTGGCATTGAACAGTAGGCTCTCTGCAGTGATGTGGAACAAAGCTGCATAATTATGGATTTGTGAGAACTTCATCTTTATCCTCTCCATGAAAGACCGTCCAGATGTTTTCATTACCTCCTTATACATGGACAGCACAGAGACAACATAAGCCTTGTCATAAGGAACAGGATAGGTCACAGTGTCGTAGTGTTTTCCCGGGGCCATCCGCATGGAGACCTCTGGCATCACTACGGTGACCCGGTGGCCACGGCGACCCATTTCTTGGGCAATAGCCTTTAGGCCCACCCAGTGACTCCCATCCATGGGAATCACCAGCAAGTTACCCAAGAAAGTTGGAGAGCCGGTGTCACTTGCAGGATCAGTGCCAGTGTCTTCAGCCTCTTCTGTCTCCACCTTCTTCTCTGGCCTGGAGGTTTCTGCCAGAGACCCCCTCTTCTTATCTACAGCAGCATTTACCTGCATGGCCATGTTCAGTAGCAGGAGCACAAACACTGCTGGTTTCCACATTGTTCTCTTTTCCTCTGTGTCTACAGCTCACTGAGTCCAGCACCCTGAATCTGCTTCCTTCAGAAGCCTGTCTCTGGCTGGTTTATTGAAACTCCTCTGTGATTTAGTAGAGTTGTGTATGTTCAAAGTCCTCACAGCTAGTAGTTGGAGGTCACTGATACAGGACTGTCAGTGATTTAGTTGGCCATACATGAAAGAAAGAACAGAATAAGAAGTGATAATGTATGAGGGACTGGAGAAAAGTGGACTACTGAAAATGGTAGTGTTTAGACAGTGTGCTTACTGTCTATGCACTGCAACAACCCCATTATTCCTCACTTTCGGCAGTAATCAGGAAATGTACATATAAATTCAATGCTTTATCTGTCCTGCACTGTATTGAACAATCCCTAAAGGGGTTTCTGAGAAACTACACTGAGACACTATATGGGTCCTGGAAGTCTTATAAGGAGGAAACGAGAAAACTGTTACGGTTTAGCCTCTCTTCCTGGTTTTCTGTTGTTTTTCTCCTGCCACTCCCATCCTGTTCTCACTCTCTGCAATTAACCATTATTCCATCCACCTGCTGCTGATTATCTCCCAGTTCTGGTCCCTATATATACGCTTTTCTTTCAGTTGCTCAGCTGATTCGTTACGTTTACGTGACCTGACGATAAGCAATTCGTTGTTTCCAGTCCCGCTTTTACCCTTAGTTCAAAAACTTAGCCTGCCAAGCACAAACGACGGAGTAAGTCCTCGACGCTGTGCTACTCTGTTCACCAGCTACGGAGCGTGTGCCCCAACCCTCTCTCTATTCCTGACTGGCAGCCAGGTCGCGCATCTCGCTCCGGTCCTCCTGGTTCCTGTTGTGCCTCCTGCCATCTCACCTGCCCATCCTCCTGTAACCTGCCTTCACCTGTCAACTCACCTGCACGTCTTGTCCTTCTGGCTCCTGCCATTTCACTTGCACAGTTCAGTTCCCCCTGGAGCGCACCAGCCTACCTGAACTTTCTGCCAGTCTTTTTATTTAATAACTCCTTTCTGTTGACACTCCTCTTCTGATCACGGAGTCTGCATTTGGGATCCAACCACACATGCACAACATAACAAAAACACACCCTCAGATTTTATAATACAACACCAACACCAATACCAATAAGTCCTTCCTCTTCATCAGCATATGGGAACCTATAAAGGTTGTGGAGTGAGGGGCAGTCAGGAGATCTACCTACATGGGTTACCATCCAACAGTTGCATTCTGATAATTTGATCACTAAAAGTACAACATCAGTTGCATTATTATGTTATCTATTGGCCCTTACTTTTAAAGGACCTTGTCCCAAAATCTAATCATTAAACTTTTAGTTTATGTAGGCCTTTTTCACAGCAGACACTTCGAGATGTAATGGTAGAAAAATCGAGTTTTTCACATAAGATGGTTCCACTCTATTCAAGTGCTAGACAGTATGACAAGGAACCACAATGCACAATATTAGGCCACTGAAACCAGAGCTGCTACATGGAGTTCAGACAGTTTGATGGTTCCTCTCATGACATGTTACAGTAACATCTGTAAAAACGGTGTGTGTGTGTGTGTGTGTGTGTGTGTGTGTGTGTACATAAGTATGTCTGAAACAAAGTTAACTTTACCACAAACTAATTGACATAAAGAGCACCTGGGGGTTGGACAGAATTGAAACATTTCTTGTAATGTAAAACAGATGCTTTACACACTATAAAGACTAAATTTGAAAGGCAATCACAACCATTTGACAGACTTGCACAAGACATGTAGGAACTAATCAGTTTATTAAGGTTTATAGCTGTTTGTGCTATATTTCTTTACCCAGCAGATCTGTTTTTCAGTGCATTAAAAGGAATTTCTTACTTTTCATGTGGATGGCAAAGTAAGAATTCCATTGTACAGGGAACCATGTTTCCTTACTGTGCATATGACAATAAACACTTTGACCTTTGATTACAGTTTTTCTCAGTCACTTTGGGACATTTCTCAGATCAGAATTGAAATTCTCAAAACTACCTGTTCAATCTTCACATCATTGTGTCACTTGTGCACATCAAAAAAGCAGTTTCTCATTTGTCTGAAGAAGTTGCAAATGCTTTGGTACATCCATGCAAATGATTATGTACAATTCTCTGCTGTTTCCTACATTATCAGTTGTTTATGTCATGTTGATCAAAATGTATTATATAGTTCACTGTGCAATAGTCTTACCCCTCAAAACATCTAGTCATTAGTTCATCGTATAAGTCGTTAAATGCAAAATGGTTGAACAAGTTGTCATAATATGACAAGCGTATTTCTATACATTTCCATTAGACTTTTTTTCTAAATCTGTCCTGAATTGGTAAATTGCTCCCAGGTGAATCTTGACTTTCCCTAACGAAGGTGCATCTCATGAACCATCAACTGGCAAGTATACATATAGCTGGAGCACAACACAATGGAAGGACAAGGAATTGGACGGGGTCAACAGCCAGAGAGAAGAAGAAGAGGAAGAGGAGTGAGGCTGCATGGCAGAGGAGTTGGGAGGCAAAACAGAGGAAGAGGCAGAAGAGGC